CCCAGAGGAGGACATTGTCCCAAAAGGACACAACCCAGGGGCGTTTCTGGTCCCCACCTGTCGTTTTGCTCCTCAGCGTGGCTTCCTAAAAACGCTGCAGGATTTCTCAAACATGCATGAATGAGTCAGAGCAAGGCTTTGGGCATGTTTTTTATGAGAGTATAACATTATAACATGATATAAAACTCAAAAGTTGATTTTACATGATATTGTCCCTTTAAAAAGTCTTGTTTTGTTGTTTGTGTTTTCCCCAGATTGAGGAGGAAATGCTTTCCCTGCAAAACGAGCGTCTGGAGCGRATCCGCTCTCTGCTGGAGCGCCAGGCCCGAGAGATCGAGGCGTTCGACTCGGAGTCGCTGCGGCTGGGCTTCAGCAACATGGTGCTCACCAACCTGGCTCCCGACACGCAGGGAGGCTGGGGGGGAGCGGGTGGGGGAGGCCAGGGAGGTCAGGGCGGCGGCGGCCAGTGGCCCGGAGGAGGAGGAGGAGGCGGCGGCAACCACAGCCACCACCACCAGGGGGGCTCCAGCTCGCAGCAGCCCTGGGGTCATCCCATGCTGTCTGGCGGCCCGCCTCCCTGGAGCCTCCACCACCCCGGAGGAGGGAGCCAGAGGAGCGGTCAGGGAGGCGCGGGAGGGGTGAGGAACAGCCCGCAGGCTATGAGGAGGACGCCATCGGGGGGGAGGAGTGAACAGGGCATGAGCAGGAGTGCCAGCATCACCTCTCAGATCTCCAACGGATCCCACCTGTCCTACACCTAGAACACGGTCCTTAACCGCTGTGTTTTAATGTAATATTACACACACACACAAACACACACACACACACACACACACACACTCACACTGCACAACTCTGACACTGGGTTTCCATGAACCCAGCTTTCCACTCACCATGTTTCTCCGCTTGCAGCCGTCTGTGGAGCCCCAGTAGAGTTGAGGCGGAGCTTTTCTCCGACGTGCCGCTGGGTTTGTTTTTATTTTCACCACAGCCTGCAGATCTGTTTTTAATGGGCTGATTTTTCTAACGCGATGTCTCTGTTGCCATATACCCTCACTGGTATCTTCACCATGGAGTTTATCAAGTAAGAATAGTTGTCAGTATGCTGAGCRAGATGTCTGAAGATGCAGGAGCTGCTGTAACCGTCAGGATTTACCAAGTAATCCTTGTGAGTTGATGCCAAATYGTTTGTAGCTCGATAAATGGAAAGAATATTGAAATGCAGGTAAAAGAGAAGGTAGGAAAAAACATTTAAGGTAGTAGAGAAGAAGCAGAGGGATAATAAAAGTCGTTCATTAGTGAGTTGAGCTATTAATGACATGCTAATGTTTAGAAAAAAGATGGTTGGATTTATACTAAATGTCGCTGCCATCATGTGAAGTATTTAGTGTCAGAGCTTCAGTGCAGTGTTGAGTCAGTAAATGTCACATGGCCAAGTCGAAGCAGTTCTTCCTCCTGCTCTCAGATTTCAGAGCTCAGCTCCTGGGTTTCCACAGACCCCTGCTCGACTTGCACTTCTCAGGACAGAGAGGAGTTTTCAGCAGCGTCTAACCACAACTCGAACGCTTTTCGAGACCGGTGTTCACTCCTCACTTAATGTGCAGTAATCCTCTGATCTAATGAGGTGCAGTAACACAGAACAGAGCTAAACTTAAGATGGAGAATAAGAGCCACTCAGATTAAAGGCACAGTGTGTAGGATTTGTTGTTTTCAGTGACATCTAGTGGTTGAATCATCCTCCCTGGTCCTCCCCCCACCCCCACCCCCCGCTTCCAAACACAAAGGAGTTGCTACGGTGTCTCTCAGGTGTCAAAAACCTTTGATAATTCCAACCGCGATGTCTACCAGCAGCTTCAGAGCTAGTGATGTTTCAAGTGGTAAGATTATGAGCTTTAATAAGTAAAATTATCCCAGCTACAATGACAGACAACAAATATTACATTTATAGTATTACAACTAAAACCGTTTTTGACGCCGCCACCACAGTTTGTCCTTCATGAGCCTTCGTAGACAAGATGGCGGCTGCCTGTAGTGGCGACCCGCGACCATGGAGATATGAACAGCTTTTTATAAGGTAAAAATAATAAAACAAGGTCTTTGTCTGCAATGATTAGACATGTTTTTTATTATTGTCATTAGTGATTATCTCAATTTCAGCTAAAAGAATTGACAAAATCCTACACACTGTGCCTTTAAATAAAACATCTCATTTTTTTATTTTAAGTTTTAAGATTGAAGTGTAAGTGTCAAGGTTAAAAGTGTAAATATAACTGACAGAGCCAAGTAAAGTGAATCCTGCTGTGGTTCTGAACCCGACTAGATTTGTTTTAAACAAAGCCAAATAAATGAATGATGAATTGATAGGTGCTTTTCACAATAAGAGCCTCAAACATCTTAAACAACTCTCGGATACAATAATAATAAAAACAAATAAATACAGTCAGGTTCAGGAGAATACAAAAGACTTAAAAGTTGTGTATTTCTTAAATTTTCGTCTGAAAAATTGCAATTTTTTTTAGTATTTACACTTTAATCTCGAAACAAATGACAAACGTCCTCATTTTATTTCCCTTCTGAGTGGCTTTATACTTTGTCGTATGAAGTAGAGCCGAGGCGCACTTCGGTACTCTAAATATTAGATTTTTTTTTTTCACACGCAAGCATACAGGAAGTGGGTTTTTATCCGCAGCCGAGGAAGTAGGTAAACTCGACTGATGGGTGTACAGGGAAAACCGTAAACGTTTTGTGAAAACAGCACACGAGGTGAAGATGTAAATGAGGATTATAGTATAAAAACACAAACTGATGAAAAAGTGGGAGGAGCTTCCCCGTCCCTTTGCAGGTTAGTGACTGCTGAATGTTTCAGTGGAATTATGGGTGGTGATGCTGTGATCTCCGCTGCCGTGCTCCTGCGACCCTTCCCCCGCTCTGACACCCCGCTCTGCCTCACCCCCTCCAGATGACCGCCCGTCTCCCTGCCTCCCTCCACCTTCGCTTCCTCCAGCCTTTTTCGTAGTGTCGGCGGGAAAAACAAAAAAAAACACGTGCTTCAATATGAATCTATACAAATAGAGGATTTTAGTCAAGTAAAGATGGAAGTCTTATTGTGAATTGCAAAGATTATATAATTTTTTTTTTGAGCTGAAATGTACAGCCACCGTGTTAATATTGTACAGTTTGAATTTGAACATATGGAAATCTAAGCGACAAATCAAAGCGGGCGCAGTCGTTACACAAACCAAGTTTTCACCCTTTTCTTTGCAGCTGTGACTTTCTGAAAGCGTGTTCCAGTGATTCTGTTGTGAACGACACAACTTTAGGTCAGACTGCCTCGAGTCAGTGGCATCATTTTGTCTTCTTAAAAAGAAAAAAAAATGATTTTTGCACATAATTAGAACTTTCTAGCTAGCCTTTGCTTCAGCGTTGGCTGTGTTACACTGACATTATTTTCTACCTGGATGGACTCGGTCTGTCCGGGGGGTCCTCGTGGTTTTTAAGAGACTCTCAGGCTTAAAGATTTTAGTTCTATAAAGAGAGAAAGGTCAACAAAAAAATATATATATCTGGAAAAACTGCTGAAATTTCTCATTAATATTTTTTATTATTATTAAATTCCTCATTTTTGTTAAATTTAATAAAATTCTAGTTCTTGTCAGATTCTCTGACATTATTTAGAAATTGATATGTTTTGTTCAGACCATTTTCTCACAGCACTTATTTGTCTTTCACAACAGAAAAATACATTATTTTAACTCTCTCCAAATTATTTTTGAGCCTAAAAGGTTTGTTGATACTTCTAAATGAGCTACAGAGTTTTACACCGCATTGTTTACTAAAACTCCCAGGAGGATTTTTATTATTATTATTATTAATAATATTATTATTTTCAGGCAGTGGGGAGGCAAAGTCTAGCTTTAGACCTTGGTCACTCTGAACTGGATCAGTTGCACTGATTGCACAAGTAGCTGACCAGGTTTAGAGTCTACTGTGATGACGGCGCGGCTGAACGTAGGCGGGAGGCGGGGTTTCGTCTCTGTACAGTCTGTTTATCAGTATTCCTTTTTATCTTCATCATTCCCTTATGTCATTTTGGTGAATCTTGCTGTTTTATTCTCCTTGGTCCAGAGATCTGTATTAAATGTAAGAAACTGTATAGATTGTGCAAAAAAAAATAAAAAATAAAAAAATAAAAAGCTGAATGTTGCATAGAAGAAGAGAGAAAAAAGCTATTCCTTCAGATGACAGTGATTTAAAGTGTATAAAAGAAGCTAAGAAGCAAAGTTTTAGGGGATAAATGTAATATTTTGTTTGTAATTACTATTTTTTGTTGGAAGAGGGCTACTGGATTAAAAAAAATAATCTGTAATAAAGTAATTTTAATATTTCTCCGTCCTGTAGTGATTTGTTCCTTGAATTTAAAATTAAGCACGATGCTTTTATTTGTCACATGATTTATACTAAGCTGCTTGTTTAATTGTAATTTAGCTTTCTATTTGCACCGTCAGCAGGATGTTAGGATGAGATGGGAGCTTCCTCCATCTGTTGCTCCTCAGCGTGTGTATGACCTCCTGATGAAGCCCCCCACATCGTCCTCCTCGCAGCTCGGTTTTATCTTCTGGACCCTCGCTCTCCTCATGGTGGCTCTCCTTCGCCGTGACGTTTGCCCGGCTCTTTTGCCCAATCTGATCATTCACCTCTCCCCTCCAGCTCTCCCCCTCTTTCAGGAACTCCGCCACGACTCTGAGGTAGTCCAGAACCGCGGCGTGACTCCAGACACCTCCGTCCTCCTATGCGAACCAGGGCCGTGCAGAGACCACTAAAGGGGCAGGTGCTCAAAGTAAAAAAGGCACGAGTGACAGGTGTTTTGTCGAGCTGCGTTTCCTCACCAGATGTGGTTCCCCCAGTGTCTCCTTGCTGCTCTGCACCGCCCACACAGCAAAAAACACGCGTGCTTGTTCAGAACGACAACTACGGACACCATGAAAGCTCAAACACGTTGCAGTTAGTTATTCCATATTTTATGTTGAGTTTTTCTTATTAATTTTATCTGCTGTAAAACACTTGTGCTGACATTAAAGCTGCTGATATGCATTATTGCAGCTCAAACATATGTGTTTGAAATAAATACATTTAAAGTGGGTTGAACTTCATAACATTTATTTATTTATGATGGACAAATATTGATGAATTAATCTTTTTTTTCTCATGGAGCTGACTTTGCAGCCTTTCTATGCCTATCAATAGAGA